TTGCGTGAATTTGACCTCTGAAAATAGGAGGGGTGTTATTCTTGGGGAACTACTAAGAGTTACTACGGTCTGAGTTGCCTAGGCCTGTATATTGGCCCGGTCACTTTGCCAAAGCTGTAAATCTAATGAGATTCAGTGTTTTAGTGAACCAGTCCCTTTGATGTTAAACAGTGCTCCAGTTGGCTAACACTATAAATACTGACCAGTGATTCAGTGAACACATAGGGTGATGTGTAACTACATAAACATAAGTGTGAGATTAAAGTATATAGACTTATGTGTGCTATAAAAAAAAACCTTAACTAATTCTATTCATATAAAAATAAAATCACCCTAACAAGAGCATATCTTTTTTGCATGACAAATAATAAATTACTGTATTAGCTAATTATCAAAATAGTTGGTAGAGGCAGTAGAGCAGAGACAGCAGGAGACTCAGGTACGATCTTACTGTGCTTTAGTCATTAATATACAGCAGTGAAAAGATCTGAAGATTTTTGTTTGAGGCTGACTGTGTCACCATTATGTGTCATTTTATTAGCGGCAGGAAACTCCAAACAATGTGTAGCTTTTCATTCACATCCAGTGTACTGATATAATATGCAGGACCTTTTGTTTCTTAATCCAGATCAGTACTAAATTAACATATATAAATTGGAGAACAAACCAAATCCAATGTAAATTTAATCCATATTGAAAATTTTGAATGATTTAAAATTTTTATGACAATGAAATTGTACCACTTGAGTGTGGTGGCACAGCGGTGCAATGGTTAGCACTTTCTCTGAGGAGTCTGCATGTTCTCCCTGTGCCTGCGTGGGTTCTCTTTGGGTACTCCGGCTTCCTCCCACAGTCCTTGATTGGTGACTCTAAATTGCCCCTAGGAGTGAATGCAAGCATGAGGGGTTGTTTTTCTATGTATCAGCCCTGTGATAGACTGGTGAGGTGTCCAGGGTGTAGCCTGCTTCTTGTCTGGTGCCAGCTAGGACAGGTTCCAGCCCCCCTATATAAATAATGGCTGGATGGACGGGACACTTGAACACAATGAACCCATTGTTAATACGTATATGGGACACCTGTGCTTGTCCAACTTGGACAGGTGTCTACAGTGAAAAGGCATATTATACCCAGGTGTGCACGTGCTCCATTAGTCTTATTTCTGTTCTACCAGTAAGGTGTGAGATGGTCTAGTGTATTAGGAACATGTTAACCTACTTTTCCTCTGAATTGAGTGGGAAAGGTGTGTCCAAACCTTTGAGTGGTAGTGTTAAGGTGATTTTTATTTTATGCACTAAAGAATGGTTTTATTTTATAGCACACATAGGTTTACATACTTATATGTCACAGTTATGCTTATATAGTTATGAATGTCACCCTATGTGTTCACTGAACCACTGGTCAAATATCTGCTGTGTGAGTCACTGAAACACTAATGCAACATCATAAGTCTTGTCCACTAAATTACTGAATTTCATTAGATTTATGGCTGTAGCTAAGGGAGCTCATAGTTACGTATCGTTCCTCTGGAAAGGAAGAAGTGAGTGTGTATGTAGGAATTAAAGTAGAACAGGTATTCTTCCTCCTTTCTAGGGCGCTGTCCACGATGATTGGAGCAGAGAGGACGGACGGACTGAAGGACCAATAACGGGAGAGTTAAGTCTAAACCACGGCTTCTCCCCAACAGTTTTGGACCAATTAGATAGTAGCACCTTTTCATACAAATATTGTATACCACTAAGTTGAGGTCAGTCTTTTCTGTTTTATCCTAAACAGTGAAGATCCATGTATACATGCTAATTTTGATACGTTAATGCATAATAAATTTCACACTGTGAAATATATATCCTCTTATTAGTCTTCTCTTTTCAATATAAAACGAACACGCCTCACAGTAGTGTACTAAAGGAAGGGTGTCTTTTAATGAACACTTTGTGATGCAGTCATGCTGAACATAATGGATGAAGCCATATAATTTGTGATATTTAGTTTGTTTTAATAGAAAATAAGAATTACACATTTATTATAAAAGGATGTAACACAATGATAATAAACACTGAATGTTGTAAAACTAAAAGGGTTTAATTGAAACATTGGCAATTCTCACGCAAATGAACGAATACCAAGAAATACATTAAAAAAAAGACATCAAAATAAAAAAACTGCATGGCAGTTTCAGACACTGCAGTGATAAGATAAGTAAAGCACAACATAACTCCTGCTGCAGAAGAGGTTGTGGAATGTTTAACCATTCCCTACTGAGTATGAACACAGGTCATCACATTTTATATTCACAAGGTTATGTACAGAATAAAATCTGTGATCATGACCAGAAAGTATTTACACCATAAAAACTGTGGGCAACCAAAACCTAGTAATTGAATCATAGGTCTAGTATTTCATATATAATGATTACATTATGAACATAAACACACAAGTGTCATAATGCTGTCATAAAAAGAGAAACAGATCTGTAAAGCATCAGGATAAAAGACTGCTTATGTCCTTGTCGTGGTTTTTGAAAAATATACAACAGGTTGTAACTGCTGAGGAATTGGCAGTCATTGATTATTTACATGCGGTAAAATGAATAAACATACATATTTGGCTTTCCACCACTTTCAGTTATACTATTCTGTATCAGTCTTTAGATCACCAGCTTTTTCAGAATTGGGGCTGTAGATGGAACTTGGAACATTAGGAAAAAGTAAACCGCATGGCACAAGATGCAACAATGAGATGATTTTATGGAATCAACATTTGATATGACTAAGTCATTGAAATGCAAAATCTGTGGTTAAACATTGAAACTCCATAAAAATTACTGTAGTTTAATTTTTTTTTTTAAACATACAGTAATCCTTAAATCTTAACATGAGACTGAACTATTAAATACAAATGCAAAGTGATTCTTTAAAACTTTACTTTTGCCCTGGTCAAGTTTTAAACAAAAGATAACACAGTAAAGCTCCCCTTTCTTTTTGACCTGTAGTAAGATAGTCAGCTTATTAGTTTCTACCCTCACAGACACCTAAACAATGCATCCAGGCATCCTGATCAACTGGTAAAGTAAAACACATTCAAGTTTATTACCAACAATAGCCAGCAAAGTGGTAAACACTAGTAGAAGGCTGTGGCACAAAAGTCAATTTCTCTGCAACAACCCATGATTTACACTAAAGCCAAACAAAAACAGTACTGTTTATGCCTAACGTCCATTATATACACCGTGCAGTGGTCCAGTCCATTTGACATACTTACCAATATGTATTATGTAAGTGTCTGAATGCCCCAGTAGAACACCTGACCAACCCGCCGGGTATACTAGGACATTCCTGCAGGTAAAACTGGCTGAGGTTTTGTGTAATGTGGCACTCTACTGCCACTCAGTGATTTTTTTCCATCATTAAAATTAGCTAAATTCCTAGCATGGTTTTAATTCGTAATTCGTGGCAAAAGACGTTGGCCCATAGGTGTAAATTTGAGAGTGAAGGGTTGGGTGCAGTCCACCTGTTGCCCAGTGTTGATTGAATTAGGCTCCGGCCCCCTCAACAACACTCAAGGATAAGTACAGTTAAGTGTAGTTACATCTAAATGGGTCTACATGCTACATGTGTCACTACACATACTACCACCTCTGCAGCCATGTGCGAGTGGCCCGCAACCATCAATCAAACTTACAGGGCGAGGCTTTGCAGGGTCACTGCAAACTGACACTGTATGAAATTTTGGACAACAAAGAGGAAAAGGGTTGTTGTGTTTGTGGTATTTACTGTATGCCAGTGAACCAAGACGATGCTCTGTTTGTCCTCTAAACTAGACGTGGAGAGAACATAGGAGTTCATTAAACTTGTGAACTGATGCACCTCAAAGATGACGAGATGCACTTTAATTATTTGTCTGCAGATCAATTTGATGATTTACTGCATCAAATCAAGCCATTTGTTAAACATGCCAGAACACATTATGCCTGTGTTTTAGATGGAGTGCTGAGATCACATGATACCAGAGAGCCAATCACTAGCAAGGAGGACATGCAGCATTTCAAAAAGTGACCAGCATGCACCAGGCTCGCACGCCAGCGTAGTGACATTTGTAGGACACTCTGCAACAGGCACGCAGCCTGCTTTAGAGGGGCCAGATGAACCTTGACAATATAGTTTATGCAAAGAAAAAATAAACACTGAAATTATCTTTTTAAATAAACTGCATACATGAATGCCTAAACTCTAACACTTAACATCTGTGTATACTGACTGCAACCTACTACAGTAGACTGTGTTCATTGACCCAGAGCAAAATACATTGCACTTCAATAATCTACACCGATCAGCCATAACATTATGACCACAGAATAAAGTGAATACTGATTATATCATTACGCTGGCACCTGTCAGTGTGTGGTGTATATTAGGCAGCAAGTGAACATTCAGTCCTCAAAGTTGATGTGTTGGAAGAAGGAAAAATGGGCAAGTGTGAGGATCTGAGTGACTTTGACAAGGGCCAAACTGTGATGGTGAGATGACTGGGTCAGAGAATCTCCCACACTGCAGGTCTTGTTGGGTGTTATTGGTCTGCAGTGGTCAGTACTGACCAACAGTGGACTAAGGAAGGGCAAATGGTGAACTGGTGACAGGGTCATGGACGTCCCCGGGTGATGATGAGGTTGACCTACAGTATATTAAACTTTTAACTTCCATTTGTATTTTTCAAAAATTTAAGATTTATTTGAATCTTTGTTAAAATGGTTGAAAATGAGAAATACTGTACATTGGTCTCTATGAAGAGAAAGAGTCGGGGGCTGTAGTGGTGATATCACACCTGGAGTGGTGAGGCTGTTGGATTGGTCTAAAACATTCTCTCTAACTCGTCCTCATGACCAGTTTTCATTCCTTTTATATAAGTTTCTCACTGAATTGTAGACACATCTGTGCTCTTCCTGACAGTAAAACTGTGGAAGCAAATGGATTCACAGAAGATGCACAGTGAGCTGCAGAGTGACACCAGTACCAACCAACTGCCACATTGACCCCTATGTAAACAGTATTAGGCAGGTGGTCATAATGTTATGGCTGACTGGTGTATATCCCATGTCATCATCAACAATAAAAGAACTGGGTGGGCCATGGCAAATTAGCCCGCCTCCAATACTATCTAATAGTAGGTATATAAGGCCCTGTACAGGTAGGGCTACTTTTCCGTGGCCCCCCTGTATAACAAGGTGTATAGTCTCAGATGTCTTTAAAATATTATGCTCCAAAAAAAAAGAAATGCCTTAATATTGTGTCAGTTTTTTTATCTTTCCTTCATAATACTAGATAAGTCCTCATAAATGTACACAGTGTCTGACAGATTTAAGGAAAGACTCTAACAGTGCAGCCCATCACCTCATATTTCTGCCCCATCACTTTGCTCAGCCTCATTTTTAAGATCTGGCACTTTGGAACCACCTCAGTGGATCCTGTGTTAGCAACACTGTCTGCTCTCGCTCCCTGTATGGGGGCTCGGGGCTTTGGGTGATTGAGTACAACTACAGGCTGATTCGGACCTGGTCGCTTCACCAACTGGTCCACCTTCAGCGGCATCGGGTAAATAACTGCACAATCGGTCACACTGCCCATAGGTACCTGTGTCTTATATTTGGATATTTTAAGTTTGATTCCTTTCTTGCTTTTTTTCCACACACCAACCTGTACCCTTTTCAGACAGACAGTGAGGAACTTCGAGGAGACGTCATGTTCATCTTTTTCCATTGGCTGGAGAGGATCTGCAGTTACAGATGCATCTACATTTTCAGAAACAGATTCCACATCTGATGAATACTTTGAAGCAGGAGTGTGACTGCATTTATTATTGTCTTTCGTTGTGGTGTTCTTTTTTTCCTCCTTGACACTGACATGGTTGCGAGTCAGTGCAGAAGGGTGCTGGATACCCTTATCATTCTCCTCTACTTTTATAACATCACTGGTCTGCTCTGTCAATAAAAGGTCACGGATGAAGGATCCACTTTTTGTGGTTACCTGAGCCCAGTATCTTGATGCTGTTGCCTCCTTGATTTGCTCGGTGCCATTTGTTATCTTGGTGTGATCTTGAGTTGTACTGCCAGAACTGTTACTTTTATCCATCACTATGCCACGCAGAGCCATTACCAGTGGCTGAATGGAGCCTTGGACCTCCTCTGGCTGTTGACTTAATGAAAACACAGAGGAGATGACTGGAAAACTCTCGGGCTCTGGCATATCTCCTTCTCCTGCTCTCTCACTGGATTGAACTTCCTGGGTCCAAGAAGTCATCTTTGAATTTGTGCAATTAGAAAGCACAGGTGTTTTGACTGATGATGGCTCACTTAGTGTTCTGCATATTGGGAAAGATGGATTAGCAACATTATCCTTGCAGACTACAGTTGCTGGAGGTCTCACTTGGGCATCTGCTGCTGAAGGAATGCTCAGTGAAGGAGAAGCTGATTTCAGACTTTGCTGGTTCAAGCACACTGCTTCTTTGATCATTTTTGAAGCAGTACTGTTCCTGAGGTGGAGCTCCCTTGGTTCCAGCTTCACAGCTACTGACACATCTTGTGGAGTGCTTTTTGTGTCACTTGCCCTCCTAGGTGGGATGCTCTTGGAGAGCTCTGGAATTAAATTCTTCCTCTCATCAACTGCTCTCTGAGAAACACTTGTTCCCATGTTGCCTGGATGCAGGGTGGTGGTCGGCCTATTGGCAACCCTGGTTGAGATGACAGCAGGAGGAGCTAAATTAACTTTTATAGGTTCCCTCTGTGCAACTCTGATCCCACAATTTCCTTCTCTTACAGGGTTGAGGATGCATTTGGGAATCTTGTTTGGAATGACTGTGTTAGATTCCAAGTTGATTATTTCTTGTGATGTTCTTTTCAATCCAGCCTTTTCCTTGTTTACCTGATTTGGGAGATTTTTAAAACCAGTGCCGGGGACAACAGCGGGACCCTCCATATTCACTGTCTTTGTTTCACACAGTTTTCTGTTAACAGTGCACATCCCCATACTCGCAGACTTCACTGTGTTCGGACTATTTAATGTGGATGATAAAGGCTTTCCCAGTGCAGTATTTTGCGACATGGTGGTCCTTGTGTCTTTTATCATAGACTCATTTTCTTGCTGGGAGACAAGCCTCAGCTTTAGCTCCTTTGTCCCATTGACAGTTTTCACCTCGACAAGTTCAACCAAGCAGCCAGCAGGGATTGTTACTTCCTCCGGTAGAGAGACTGTTAGAGCTCTGTTGTGCTGAATGAGCCCATTCAAATGGGATTTAATTTCTGCATTTCCATTTGTGGCATTTGATATATTTGTGTCCAGTGTTTTCCCCCTCTGATCATCTTTACCCAGTCTGATTGCAGGCGCATTCGGGGTGGGCACCGTTACCCGAACAGCTGGTCGAAGTGGTGATGGATCAGAAGTGGGCACACTAGGTAAGGCACTGGAGACAGTGACATGTGGAATTTTTGACATGCCAGACTTAGCAGGCCCTTGACTGATGCTTTCACTGTGTAAACGATCGATGTGCTTTATAAGGCACAACCTCCTCATATATCCCTGTCCACAGTGAGGACATTTGAATGGATGCTTTGCGGTGTGTTGCTTCAGGTGCGCACTTAGCTCTGCCTCACTGAATGAGACACTGCTGCAATAAAAACAGTGAAACTTTGTCCCAATGTGCTCGACCATCGACTTGTTGAACACTGCGGTGTTTGCAGAACCAAATCCACCTTTCTCACAATACATCACATTTGAAGTGTTTAGCACACAATCCGAGGCCAAGTTTGGATGTCCACTGTTCAAAGATGATGGCATGCTTTGATAGCTGACAGGCTTCATGTTGAGCGATGGGGTCTACTAGTCATCTGGCTGCAGGGTCACACTGAGTCAAAGTCTGCAGTTATACAATGAAGTAAATACTCATTTCCACCTGATGTCCAGGGTTTAGTTGTCAGGGAAGGCTGATAAAAGCGCGACCTGCCTATTGAGGCGTCTTCCACCTGAGAAAGCAGATTAGAGAGAATGAAACTAACCTTACAGCCTACAGTGCTGACATTAAAACAAGGCCCAGGAGGCCCCTCCCCCTCACGCACAGCTCATGCAGTATTTCTTGCACCTGGGGCCGTTAATGTCCTTCAGTTCACTAGTTGTAAACATACCAAAAACACAGAGGTGCTATCTAATTTAATGCTGTCATTACTGTTTATGTTTTCCCACTGTTGTCTTCCACTGAACACAAGGCCCTATCTGATTACAACAGGGAGATTGAAAACACGACGGTCCGCATATTTCGTCTGTTTATGTTTGCAAGAGTCAATTCTCACACACATACCTGCTTGGAGTGTTGTCTATGAGCTTTTGATCCTGTTTTATATTTTTTGAGTGAATTAGATTTTAAGAATTCCGTCTCTAGGCTCGTCAATGCTGCCAGTCGAACCCCTTTTTCATTAGCTTGTCGTTAGCACTGTAGCTAGAATAACAACATTTCCGGAAAATGGAAGCTGTTGCCTTCAAAATAAGATTATGTGACTAAAAACATACTAGAATATATTGCTTTTTTTCCAAATGTAATGTTAAAATGGTATTATATTCTACCAATGGTTTCATTTAGATATACCTATGTTATAAATCATTGTCATGATGCATATTGCAACGACAGTGCTATATTATTTTGAAAGTTGTGACGGAAGTGGACGTTTTTATTTTATTGTTTTGACAGATGGCGAACGGGACTCAGTGTAAGTGCTATTCTTGAAATACAACGCAAACCTTTTATATTTTTGAGTTTGTGTACGTTAGAGTCTGCATTTTGCTACAGAAATCGCGTAATGTTGAAACTGGGCACCCACGCCCTCAACAATATGACAACTTCCACCATAACAGTATTAAACTTAAACATCTCGTTGCAGTTTTAGATCGCATAAGGAAACGTTTGTAGCTGCTGTCGAGGAAGATATGCGGTAGTTAAATCCCGAAATAGGAAGTGGTTTAAAGGTTTTATATTTACTGTGATGAAATCAACTAGCAACGGCACACTGACTGGATCTAACATAGCCTATTGCTATTAAAACATGCTTACCAAAAGAATATGCAAACTACTTCCTGCCGTGTCTGGGTCACTAGCATTACCAAGGTGAGTTATATAGCCTAGTAGACTGTGTTTACAGCAAATTTTGAAGAAATTGATTGCATTTTATGTACTTTAATCGTAATTCAGCGTTGTCGTTGACCAAATTCCTGTTGCAGATTCTCTGTCTTACACCTGTTACTCTGATTCCCATACTGTAGCTCATGTGATAATCACAATGACTATTGTGAAAACTGTTTCTGGGATTTACACACCACTGTTGCAATTCATAATGACACAGCACTCGCTTTTCACTTGACCCTCCCATTCTCCATTTGTTCCACACATAGGTCTGTGATCTTCCTGGTTATGGCCATAGTAATCCAGCAAACCCGGACGCAAGTTCCCTGATGGTTTATCCTTAGAAAGCTCATTTTCTTGTCTTTTCGCAGACACGGAATTAACGTTATCCGCCGAAGAATGGCCTCAGACCCGACAACAGAGACAACCCGCTTCGACTTTCTGGTAGTCGGCGGCGGGTCTGGAGGTCTGGCCGGGGCTCGAAGGGCGGCGGAGCTCGGTGCAATCACTGCCGTGATCGAGAGTCACAAACTCGGAGGTACCTGCGTGAGTAAAAATAAAAATTCACCCCGACCACAGTCTGTTGTAGTGTCCGCAGTTCACACACACACACACACACACACACGTTATTTGCCAGGTCCACTGCTAAGCCTCTGGACCCCTCTTGTGATTTTTGTTTCCTTTCTTTTGCACAATAATCACCTTAACAACAACAAACAGCGATCGTTAGAAATTTGAAGCCGCCCCGTGTCACACCACCATACTTCAAGCCCTGACATTAGCTAAGAAAGTATGTAGGCTGTTAAACAACACAGGCATTGTCTAAACTTCCTGAGTAACAGTTAACTTAATCCTGGTTAAAATCCACTTCTTACTGATTCATTGATTGAACAAATGTCTTGAGGTAAAACTTTGTGCACAAAGGCTGCAATGTGAGGAAGATGTGTAAGATTTGATTCTTATAGGCTCTAGTTACTTTATAAGCTTTAGTTACTTTTCATCCCTTTAGTTCATGTCTGTGCAGATTCTCAGTCATCCAGGTCATAGTAAACTGAAAAAACCTTGGACTTGGATTTCTAGATCGAAGACGTTTCACCTTGTTGTATTCCGGTTCTTTTAACCATGCTAACTCTGAGATATGAGGCAGTCCAAGTAACTACAAAACAGTGCTGATTTATTCCATGAAATTAACATTCTCAGGTATCTTGCACCTCCAACATGCACGCAGGCAGCTGAAGGATGAAAGACCCTGAACCCACCAGGCATATACATTATATTGCTTTGGGCTAATCCCAAACGGTGATGTCTGGGAAACAGCAACAGGAGTTGTGCATATTCATGAACTATCCTCTTGTGTTTAGGAAGAGGCTCTGGGTTTTATCATTCTGAAATAATTACAGACTATTTGGAGTTATGAGGGGTGCAAAGCTAATCTAACGGTACCCGAGATTAAACATTAAATGGCTGCAAATGAGCACAATGAGCATGCCATGGGCTCTTTAACCTGGGTTGTTCACACAGGCTACTGAGGGGAACAGCTCTAGAAGGTGTAAGATTTTATTTTTTTATAGGCTCTAGTTACTTTATAAGCTTTATTTACTTCTCATACCTTTAGTTCCCTTTAGTTACTTTTCATAACTCTAGCTTCCTTTAGTTACTTTTCATAACTCTAGCTTCCTTTAGTTACTTTTCAGTTCTTCATTTTCTTTTAGTTATTTTTCATACCTTTACTTTCCTTGCTTATACATATTAAAACTGTATTGATGACTGCTGTATTGTACTGAGTGAAACTTTGGAACTGCATGCTGTAACTTCTGTAGAGACAGGATGTCTGCATCTCCAAGTAACCAGACAGCCTGTTTACATTCTAACAAAGACCTGTTGGCCTGTTTTGCACTCACTCCTCGACCCACTTGGCATATTCCAAGTTCTGCTTTGTCATGGGGTGTCCTGCAGAGGCCGGGGGCCCACAACCTGAGATGACCACCTGGCCAGTTTAGCATACTTATTAGCATCACACACACACAGGGGGGCCTGCAGCCCAGAACACCCATCGTTCAGTGTTCATTGATCAAGATCAAGTTGCCACCTGAGAAACGCACACACACACTAACTCACACCTGGTTTCGATCACATTTCAGCAAGCAGGCGCAGACAGGGGTTGACCTACTTACACCAAATGGCCAACAGGATTATGAAGTGTTGAATGTTGTACCTATGTCCAGGGTGGGCCTAGCCCAAGGAGGTAAATGTATTGTGAAAACATAACTCATGGTTCAGAGAACGGATCTCCTGCGGGAGCTCTGTCTTTCTGATCCCAGCGCTGTACCTGTGCCCAGACTTCCAGTAAACTTCCTGTTGATTTTAAACAGTCCTCTCCTGTCTTCACTTCTCGTGCCAACAAAAGAATTGGGTTATTTCTAACAGATGGCACATAACTTTAGTGGGTTTTTTTTAAACTAGAATGCACTGTAAGTGTTCATATTTTTGTGTCCACCTATTTAAATTCATTTTAACTGACATATCATTCACATATCAAGGCAGATTCACTTCCCAGATTTGGTAGTAAAGGAAAAAGCCCACATTCTATAATTTTATGCTGAGAGAGTCACTTTCAGTTTGTTCCCGTCTAGGGGTCGCCACAGCAAATTGTCAGACTGAAGACTCGCATGTTGACATTTGGCACGTTTTATGCCGGATGCCCTTCCTGACTCAACCTGGATTAGAACCCGGGGTGCCGCGGCGAGAGTGCTGTGCCTTAACCACTAGCCTACCAGGGACATCCTATAATTTCATGCAAATCATATAAATATAATCCTGCCAAATCCAAGATATGCACCATTTTATTTGTAGAATAGGTTTATTATTTTATTATGTTTTTGACTGAGTCTGACAAAAAATAATGCAAGATAATATTATTATTTATTGTCTTTCAATGGTCCATTCATCCATCCATTTTCCTTCGCTTATCCAGAACCGGCTCGCGGGGGCAGCAGTCTAAGCAAAGATGCCCAGACTTCCCTCTCTCCAGACACTTACTCCAGCTCCTCCAGGGGAATGCTGAGGTGTTCCCAGGCCAGCCGAGAGACAGTCCATCCAGCATGTCCTAGGTCTTCCCCAGGGGCCTCCTCCTGGTGGGACATACATGGAACACCTCCCCAGGAAGGCACCCAGGAGGCATCCAAAACAGATGAGGCGCCCAGGAGGCATCCAAAACAGATGTCCGAGCCACCTCAGCTGGCTCCTCTCGATGTGGAGGAGCAGCAGCTACTCTGAGCTCCTCCCGGGTGACTGAGCTCCTCACCCTATCTCTAAGGGTGCGCCCCACCACCCTACAGAGAAAGCTCATTTTGGCCACCTGTATCCAGGATCTTGCCCTTTCGGTCATGACCGTAGAGAGTAAGAACATAGATTGACCGGTAAATCGAGAGCTCAGCTCCATCTTCACCACAATGTACCGGTACATCAACCGCATTACTGCAGAAGCTGCGCCAATCTGCCTGTCAATCTCCTGTTCCATCCTTCCCTCACTCGTGAACAAGACCCCAAGATACTTGAACTCCTCCACTTGAGGCAGGAACTCTCCAACAACCTGAAGAGTTTCTCTGCCCCACCTACATTATTTCTCCTCATGAACACATCACATGAACATATATCCATGTTTGCTTGAAGTGACAACAGGGTGAAGTGCATA